ATGTGTGTGTGTGGTAACCTGGCACCGGAACCCCTTTCGAATGACAAAGATTAGGTCCTTCCTCTGTCTGAAAGGTGTTTTTTAAAGCAGCTTTTAGTTAGGGAAAACAGCAAAACAGAATGGAAGAGACAGCACAAAAGAAATTCCATATACATGTATCGTATCCACAACTACATTTAACCAAAATCATCCAAATTCTAGTTCTTTCAGCTCTAAGCATGAGAATGTTCGGACAAATATTGCATGAAGTCCTTGGACTTCTCTGCAAAGGCTACACCTCAGGCCAGCATTCATTGAACAGGTCGTTGGTGACCAAAGTGCTCCGAGGCTTCAACCATCTCCGACCAGCAACTCCACTTTTGGGTTGCCTGCAAGACTGAGCTATCGGGAACTGCTGAAACCTTTGCTATGAGGCCGAAACCTTTGGCTACAGCGCCCGGTTAGACTGATCTGCTGTGCAATTTGAGTGCAGGGAGGTGAACGAAAGCAAGCGGAAGTTGCATGTCGGATCAGTGAGACATGTCGTTCAGCGACATTTCTTGCAGATGAGATACGTTGAGATGACCTTTGCTCGGGTGAGCCTTGAGGCCTTGAGATTGTGCATTTTGAATTTTGGGACGCAAGAGCTCAATGTCAGTCGCGCAACCCTGGCACGTGATTTGCTCAATGAAAATTCGAAAGGCCCCCCCTGACAAAACGCAGCCGCCGAAGGTCATGATTGCCCAGGGACGTCACAGTTGGGTGTCCATGCCTGTGACCATCTGTGACGGTCTCTGGCCTTCAATACTGACTTGGATCTTGCACGACACGATCCATTTAACTTCCAACAAAATAGCATTGCGCAATTGACTTCAGAAGTTCGGGAACTTGTCCCTCCACCCTCCAAGCACTCATTGTCTGATGTTGCGCAACCTCACTCAACGAAAAACAAGAGTATCAGTCGGTGCCAAGAGAGTGGCACTGTGAAAAATGAGGGCGAATTGGTGGGAAGACACCAGTGAGATGAAGTGAAGATCCAACACTCCATCAAACAAATTGAGAGGAATAAAGGGTGTGATGGTGAGTGATGACTGGACATATGGAGAGCTTAGAAAGCAACAAAACAAAGTTGAGTTGAGGTGTCCGTGTCACGCGCCCTCCACAACCGTTGGGGACATAAGATTGATCTGCTCACTTTTGAACGAATATTATAGTTATTACAGTAGTTACAGACTTCTGCTGCCCCAGCCCCATCCTTCTGGGAGGAAGTGAAACTCCATGCAAGATGATGCTAGCTTCGCTGATTACGAAAGATCCAACATATGCACGTTCGAACTCTCGCCTATAGCTTTGGCCACACTTGGCATAAACTGCTTGGCAGCGTCCACCACGTCCCCATCAATCTCGCACCAAGTGACCTCTTTGCAAGTCTTCCTTTGGCATCACAAGCAAAAATTCAGTGTTCCTGCATCAAACATCGTCCAACTTTGCACACCTTCTCAACGCAGCTGTGCTTTACCACCTCCCGGAGTATGCCACCATCACCTCCACCTACAATGAGCACCTGCGAGCTGTGACTGTGGCCAGATTGTATCACCATTTCTTCTTTGACAGAGAGGCAGCATGGCAGCTTTTGTATTCCCAAGCACACAAGCAAGGAAGCAAATGCCTGAGTAGGCTCGCAGGAGAAGAGAGGCAAGTGCGCCAGCATCTCTTGGTACGACATCTCCTGAGCTTTCGACTGCCAGTAACAAGCAAAGCAGGAGGTGTGAGAATGAATTCTACCTGCCACGTTAGTTTCTATCAACTGGCAAAACACTCCGGCCTTTCTCAATCAATTCATTGAAATTGTGCAAGCCAGTGCTATGGCTCAGGAGGAGCTATCTGCCAAGAATCATCGCGTTCTGTAATCTGAATCACACCGTCCTCACAAGCAACACCCATCAGGGCAGATTTGGACCCCCAATTCTAAACTGCCAACAAGGACATTGAGGCCAGCGACCAAAACAATGACGTTGCCATGATTGGTGGATGCCTGGGCCAGGAACAAGAGAGAAAGACAATAAATTGTGAAGTTCCTCGAGGACTCAAGTTTCTTGGGTTCCAGCAAAAACAAGCAAATCCTGGAATTTGGTTTTCTTGTGAAGGAGAACTTCCTTCACCTGCTATTGCAAGGCTGAGATGAGAGATCACGAAAACAATTGCGTTTGAGGGATCCGGGATCACTGGCAATCAAAAATCAAACAAAAAAAAGCACCTGAAGCGCATTTGCCTGTCCAGGCCTCACACTGGTTACTTAATCCAAATGCCCTGACTCAAGGTTCGATACAACTCCAAGGCATCCACAAAAGAAGCCGGTAAATTTGGGCACATGAAGTTCACACAGCCAGCACATGAAACTTGGAAGGTCACCATTGCGCGTTCTTCTCCAAGAACCAGCCATTTTCAATCAGTGTCTCCTTACATACTGCAACATGTTGGACATGAGTGCGCAAAAAACGGTCGATGATTTACACAGGTTGGAACTCCTTTTCAATTTTTTTGAAGTGGTGCCTAAAATCAAACTGTTCTATGGAGTGATCTGTGCGTGTGCGTGTGCGCGTGTGAGTGTACACCTTGGATTCATAGGTAGCCGGTAGCCTGTTCTGTTGGTTCTAGCATGCAGGGGAGTGCAGCATGATTGTGGGACCGCACTCAATCATACGATAACGAGTTTGATCAAGTCGGCGTACCTGCACCTGAGTTATGAATGTTTGAGCCACTCCATGGGTTCCAAGTTGGAAGGTTTTAATCGACCTTTGCACTAAGGCTCATTCGTCCGCTTCGGACACCTTCTTCTCCGCCAAGGAGAACGAGACAAACCCCTGTTCAACAGAGCCACGGAGGGCACTTCGGTCACTCGGGGCTGGCACAAAGGCCAGACACACTCAGCATAACAGTGCATACGATATGATTGTTGCATGCCACACGCCGACCGATGTGAACACCTGATGGGTGACAGTATGTAAAGCGGTCTGACCATCTGGAGGAGCCCAAAGTTGCGAGTGTTCCAAAGTCTCCAAATCAAAATCTTCAAATTCCAAAAAGGGCCACACGAACGAGAAACGGCGAGAGCGAACTGCGAGTACACACTTGCAGACCCGAATCGTCCTCCAACAGCCTTGAAGACCTCTAGGATTGGAACGTGGTCGTAGACTGGAGCGTGCTCAAAGCAAGCGGAGGCGCCAGTCCCTCGGACACGGCTCAGGGTGGCCGCAGCGGTCAGCGGCCATCCTAGTTTGGCCCTTAGTGTGCACACTGCGCATCACACACACACACACAAAAACAAACGAGGCGTGGTTCCCCAGGTTTGTTTTAAGGAGGTTTGGTTTGGTCTTGGTTGTCCCCTTCGTTTGGTGTCCCTTTCATCTGCCTTCGCACACTTTCTGTTTCCTCTTTCTTTTGATGTCTTTTCCACTTTCATGTCCGGTCATTTCATTCCTTTCCTTCTTTTGCACCCACACCAGTCTGGCCCTTAGTGCATGTGTTTACATTTAAACCAGGTGGTAGATGGCCCAGGCTTCCATAAGACGGTCTGGCTCGCCGGCTGCTCTCCTGTTCACTTGGCTCCCTTTCATCGCAACCACCTACCTTGTCTTTTTCATGTCTCTCCTTCATGTCTTTTCATCTGTCCTTCTTGCGTGCACGTGCACGTAAGTTTGCCTCCATCTGGGAGGCACGTGCATGTACACCTTGGATTCATAGGTAGCCGGTAGCCTGTTGGTTCTAGCATGCGGGGAGTGCGGCATGCACGAAGCTACCACAATCCTGAGATACCGAGTCTGATCAACTCGGCGTACCTGCACCTGAGTTATGAATGTTTGAGCCACGTTCCAATCGTAGAGGTCTTCAAGGCTGTTGGAGGACGATTCGCGTCTGCAAGTGCGTACTCGCTGCCTCGCTGATCGCTTTCGCCGTTTCTCGTTTGTGTGGCCCTTTTTGGAATTTGAAGATTTTGATTTGGAGACTTTGGAACACTCGCAACTTTGGGCTCCTCCAGATGGTCAGACCGCTTTACATACTATCACACCTGGATTCTCGGGTTTTCATACCTAGGTCGCCGTGTGGCATGCGGCATTCCTATCGAACGTACTTTTGCCATGAGTCTGTGTTTGTCGTTTAAATCACGTGCAGTAAGTGCACAACTCGCCACCGCAAGTCCAAATGATAATAGCATCTAGCATGCAGGGAGAGGGTAGTTTCTACAGAAATGATGTAACTATCGAAATCAGAAGATTAGAGACAAAAAACAAACGGGTGATTCTGAATCTGCCTTTCCCCTAACAGGGCAAGAGTTGAGCATTGAGAGGATATATATATATATTTATGCCACGAGTCCAAGAGAAAAGAAAAGGTTGCAAGAAGACCGCAGGTCTAAGGGGGATCTATCAAGAAGTGAAGCATAAAGCAGCTCTGAAAATTGCAATTAGCAAGCAACACGAAACAGCGATGAATAGAACAAGTTATATATATATATATGTTAGATGTATGTATATAACGAACAAATCCATCTCGAAACATTGAAGCCTGAGTTGGAGCAGCGGTCAAAGCTTTCTCTGTATTGATACTTAACTATTGGACCAAGAAGTAATTATATAGCTACTTGTCCATCCGGTTTAAAAGGCTTTGTGAGAGACAAAGTGTTGCCCACCTGTCACGAGACCTCTGCAAGAGTCGCAGCTCCGAATGCAGACACAATCACCCAGGCTTGGGTGCAGACGCCATTCAGTGGCTCGCCCATTTGCAAATTTGCCAATGGTTGGCTCTTGCAAATAGCCAAAAAAATGTGTAAACGTTTGCTTGAGGGTGTCCCGTGAAAGTATGCCCACGGGTGGCTTCTTGAACGAAGGAAAATGCTTGGTTTCCTGATACAAGCTGAAGTTCGACTTCAATTCATGCAGGATCTCTTGGAGCCGTGCCTGCAAATATCATGTGCATGTGATTGATCCCAAATCATGGCTGAAGAGACATCAGTCTTCCAAGTGAAATTCCATCAAACTGCCCATATCTTTTACACATCACTAGTGGTTCATGCAAGTTGCTTCTCATTGGAACGCATTTTTGCCGCAAACTTATGCAGTTTCTTCCGCAGCTGGCTTCACACAAACTTTCATGCGTCTGCAGCTGCACAGTCAGATTGAAACCGTGCTATGCCAGTGGTATGCTAAAACGTCCTCAGCAACCTTCCTGCAAAACAGCTGGCCAGCGAGCGGTCGCTGGTGAAAACTCAAGACCCAGCCGAGCACTCATCTGCATTCCAAGTGCTAGTGCTCGAACTTTCGTCCAATTGCGCCTGAGGGTGGTTTCTCTGCAGCACGTCCACCAGCCATGGGTGCTGCAGTTTTGCTTCAACCACGAGTGATGCTTCAAACACGGTCTGGTTCAATGGGAACTTTCACCCCTCATCTTGGGTGTTACCAGCTGGCGAGTGCTTGCAAAGGAACTTGGCGAACTTCCACATTCACAGGACATTGCAAAAAAAAGCAAACTGCAAGACAACTTCAAGACCGAACAAATCCCCAAAAATGGCGGCCAAAAACACTCGACCAATTGACGGGTGACACCCTAGAACCCCACCTCTGATGAATTGAGCCTGGAGAGTGGCAATTGATCAGCGAACAAACGATCGCAAACCTTGTTGGCACGCAACTCCAAGTCCTCTTGAGTGCTGGCAAAGCTCCTGACATTGCAAAAAAAAAAGAAAGGAATGCAAACACAAAACATGTCTCAGAACCTTGTAGCCTCCACCATTCTATGAACAGCATATCGTCACAGCACAATCCAAGTCACCCTGGTGCGAAAACGACCGCAAGCTCTTTGTAAACTGCCTGGCAGCGCTCGGACTACACGTGCTGATTGCTGCCTAGGACCATCCTGTAGCCTTTCTCTTATGCAGTGTGTCTGGATGACATGTACTGGTTGCAAGACATGGCTAGTGAACCACGCATGACACTTCGTTGCATCTATGGGGGGAAACACACGAAAGCAGGAAATGGTGTCTGACTCCGACCATGAAAGTGGATTTCTTTATATACAACACCCATCATCATGACGCCCCTTGCCTCTCAACCTCGTAGTCTTCTAACATTAGTGACAGTGGATTTTAGCTTGGATGCAAAACATACAGGCAATCCTCATCCAGTGTGAGTCGGTGATTAAAACATGTGCTCAATTTTCCACCAGAGTACGGCGTGCAATCAGTACCAACACATCTGAGCTACAGTACACGTTCAGCGAAGCTTGTAGCATTGTAGCTCATGAAATGAACTTTGTTGCCATGCAAACGCTCAGGTTCTGAACCAGCGAAGGGCCCGACGCGTCATGACGGTCAACACTATGCGTAGTTACTCAGTATGCTTCTTCCTTACGTCCTTTATCAGCTTGAGGTTGTTTCACTCTAAACTTGGCAGCTAGACCTTCACAATTTGAATATAAAGCTCAGCATCAATCTCAGCACGAAAGGTCCAGAAAGCACGTAGCTCCTTGAAAAAGGTTCTTAAACCAAGGGTCAGGTGTGCGTCCAGCTCCACCGCATAGCTCTGCAATGCTCTGCAATTCTCACAGGTCTGTCCTCATAGAAAGACGGTGGCAAGCTGTGGCTCTCCTCCGCAATGATTGGAACGATTCCACATGGCAAGTCATGCACCTCAGCTTCTGCGGCTTCCAATCTCAAGCTCATACGACGGCATCACTAGGCTTCTGAAATGCAGTGAAAACCAAGTAAGTTCCTGCTTTGTTCACTCCACGGTTTTCACATTGCTTCAAAGGAACATACAGTAAACAATTGGACAACAGACTGGCTTGCATTTCAACCACTTGAGGTACAGTAAAAGCCTCAAGGCCGTTTCTAACGCCAAATGCTGAGATGTAGCACCTGCATAAGCCAGTGTGCGAAGGTAGGAGACAAAAAGCAACCCTTCGTGATGATCACAACCACGGTGCTGGCTTTGTTGGGCACCTTGTTCAAGACAACAATATCAAGACAGTCTAAAAGAATACTCCATGATCAAATTCAAGCATACGGACAGAATTCCTATTCAAGTGCGCTGCAAGTTTGAGATGGGTTCTGGCCTTCAGTTGATGTTGCAGAAGTCTGGGCATGATGCTGCCAACCATGAGCTTCTTCTTTAGGTAGCTCCTTGGAGAGATGTCATAAACGCAAACAATACCAAAAAACAAGAAGGGTCGAGGATCACACTCATAAACATGATACAGTTCCTACAATGCAGTTGAGCGGGTGGATGTGTACATCCTGCGTCATGATAGCCGTATTGCCAATTTGCAGCCTCTAATGATCTCGACTGATCTGACCAAATGGCAACAGAGTTGGATTTGTGAAAGGGTTGCCAAGCAAGCTCTTTTTAAGCCTATGCATGTGGCATGGAAACACGGCTGCCAAAGCAGGTTCACCCACTGAAAGGCTTCACTGGCAAGCCACTAAGCGAATGGTAGCAGTGATGTGTCACCCACCACTCATGAGACCAGCCATGCAATGCCAGGGTGTTGGAAAATTGTCTGCCAGTAAGAAGCAACAAGGATCTGCATAGGGGCCACCCTTCATCATGAGAAGTGTGCCAAATCACATATGACAGTGTCTCTGCATTCAAATCCCTCTTTTGTCACAGGGCATGGAACGACAAAAAGTTCTGCGAACCAGCACGTGTTTGTTTATCCTCCGACAAATCATTGGGACGCTAAAACACCATGGAATGGTCGGAAAAAGTGCTTTTTGACCTGTTGTTTTACAGGGTTTGGGAGATTTACGAACATGGTCGCTTCAGACTGGTGTTTGCATCATTTTCGGGGGTCGGGGGAGTGGGGAGGGTTGGGCTGGGAATAACAATGTTTGCATATGTTGTTTTGTTAGATGTATGCGGTTACACCATGCACTTCTCTTTTCGTTGTGTTCGATGTTTATCGTTGCTCCTTGCCGTTTGTTTAGAGCCATGGAACTTGAGGTTGAAGAGGTGCTGACGGTGAGTTTGGTTTTGTTGCATTTAGCATGGGTGGACCGGAAACCAGTCTTGCCACATTGTTTCATGTTTAGGAAAGAACGCTGGAATTCTTTGGGGCACCACCCTAAGCGGGCGGTCGCTCCAGAAGACCTGGACTTCTTGTTCTGAGAGTGAAAGAGCTTTCGCTGGGGGCACTCACATTTCACACGTAAACACAAAAGGCCAAGCAAGTATTGATTCCTGCGGACGCGTCTCGACACACCGTCCGACCGTTCTTCATTCCTGCTGTTAATGCTTGGCCAACTCAGAACTGTTCTTCACCACTGAAGCTCCTATTCCTTGGCCATTTGCTTCTTCTTCAGTCTTTAGACTTTAAGACATGTCCTGTTGAAAGCCCATTATGGCCCCTAATATCAGTACTCCACGGCAAACCTGCAAGTGAATCATATGACTCTCTAACAGTATGGCAGTGTACGCTTGTTACAGAATCGGGAAACAAACAAGTTCTGCTTCTTTCCTTTTGAGTATCGTTTGGATCATCTTTTCCTTTGTTTTCTTTGGGTTCCTATTCATCGGTCAAAAGGAGGCTTGAGGCCGGCTTAGGTTTCAAGGAGCTCTGCAAAAAAGAGTCCAATTTCCCTTTTTAGTCCTTGAAAAAACAAACAAAAAGTTATACCAACCAAATTCCTGTCAATTGTTTCTGGATTAGTTTCACCCATCCCTCCCACTGAAATGTTTGAAAGGGTGGATGTTGACCAACCAAGGCACGTATGTAATCTATAAAAAGTTTAACAACTCCACTTTTGGTGCCAGTGGGGTAAGCTGTGATCTGCTCAAACCTGCCGCGAACGTGAATGATAACGGGAACGAAGGCGGCATGCTCCTGATAGGGGCTTCGGAAATTGAATGGCAATGGCAATGTCGAGCAGGCGACATTTAGACATTGGTGGCGGGTTCCGTGGCCAATACAACCCATGTAACGAACACACAAAGTGGTTATACTATATACTATTTATATACATTCTTGGCAGCTTAAGAGGCCCTAACTGCTGTAAATTGCCTTTTTTCCTCAAGTCACAATTTACCAAACACCCAATAGTATGCCCATGTTTTCCAACACGCCAAGTCTGGCAGGATCTCTATGGTGGCCATCTTTCACACCCCGCAAGACTGTCCCATGCTCAAGCCAAGGGAGGGGCAAAGCAAGGGAGGGTGCGCTTGAGGATGGACATGCATGCAATCGAAATTACAAGACAATTTCTCAAGCTGTTGTAGATTATTTTATTTGGGATGCAATAGAAAGGTATCTGATGACTGCGTAGATTCAGTTGGACAGGTCAATAGTGGGTGTCCTGTTTTGGGGACGAAACCTTGCCAGCCTCAGTTGCTGCCGCCGAATTCGATCGGCTGGTGATGAACGGCCAGACTGCTGGTTGTTGAGGTGAGAAGCCAAAGCCAACACCACAGAAGGACAATCACCAAACAAAGCCAAATGGGTGGAAGAAGGGGCCAGGCGAGGCCCATGCAAGCCAGGAGGCCCAAAACAAGGCCAAGAGCAAGAAGTGGTGGCAATGAGAAGGGCGGAACATGCCCCGCAGGCCGCAGGACAGCCCAGGCCCCAGCTCGAGGCACCTGAAACCACTTGGAGGCCACAAACCGCAGCTTCCATGTGCTTGAGGACGGGCATTCATGCAATCCAAATTACAGTGTAAAGAAACAACCGTTTTGGCTCTCAATAATGTATACATTATATATATATATATCGTACAAAAAAATTGCAGATTCCCGAAATTGTGTTTGCGTCCTTTTGGCTCAAATTTGGTGCATTTGTGCGACGTTTCGCATCTCAGGAACACTGTCACTTTCAATGCTTTTGTGTCTTGCGTGTGGTCGCAACATGCAAAAGGCCAAACAATTTCAAATAGCGGTTCGTTTGACAGTTGCGGAAATGATCGCAAACACCGGTGCTGATTGAATGTTGTGGTGCAAAATTAATACTGTCCACCATGTCTTGGGCCTCGGAAGGTGCCAAGAGTGCGCAAATAACAACATAGTTGTCCTTTTTGATCTTTGCTTTGGAAAAGAATTACTGTGTGATTGGAGTGGGAATCGCAAATATCGTAAAAAGTGAGCACCGGAGAGGATACAAAACGTCCAACATTTTGAGAGAGCTCTTTTGGCAGTGGACGCGGTCCTCAGAAAACGATTTGTGTCATTCACCAAAAGTTCCAACGACACACTTGCGCACATCCGCGTTGCCTCCCCTTGCAAAAGTTCCAGTTCTCTAGAGCTCATTGGTCTTTCTGGAAAAAATACGGTTCTATGAAGCGTTACTATGCCGAAGGTGAGGGGGCCGACTGGTCCGCCTGAGTAATTAAGCCCAGAAACAGAAGGACCAGTGCTGTTGCCACTGCTTCAGTGTTGACCTCAGTCACTCTGGATTTTTGCCCAAGGTTTGTTCAGTTTACAAACATGTATCATCATAGTGCTTCTAAGTATGTCATGGTCAACCAGTCACCTGTATAGATTGAACACACCCATCCTGCTCATGCATCCCTCCCACTTGGCTGATAGAAAAAAGAAGGAAAGGCAACCGCCAGCCAGCGGTTGCTATGTCTTATGTGACGTCTGTCACCTGTCTTTATTTTCATGGTAGTCTGAACGAATCGCTTGCACCAAAACCGCGCACTCACCAAGTGACTGGATCTGCAAGCACTGGGCTGTCGATCCTGAGAGCAGCAACAATCTTGCGAGTGTGGAATTCCCACCCTACGAAGCAGACAATGTTTTAAAAGGAAAGAAGTATAGTATATATATATACTATCAAAGAATAATGGAAAGAACATCGCACCCACCAAACAATGTTGTCCCCTTGTGAAGAACATCTAGCAGGACACCCGTGAAAAGATTCCAGGAAGGCCTGGATCTTATTGGTTGGTGCAGGACAGTGTCTAGCCGTTTCCGAACTGGAAGACCAAAAAACTAGCTGTCCATTCACTCTGCCATGAGAAGTGTTTGCCGCACGCACCTTGTTTACCACCGTAAAAGCAACCTGTGAGGTGCTTCAAAAAGTACAGTATAGTTATTGATGTGTCTTGCTGTTCCTGCCTTGGTGTTCCACTCACTCCCAAGCAAAGCATGCTTGGCTTGGCCCGTTGTTTGATGCACAATACAACAACACAACAGCCATTCCCCACAGCCGCACCCCCAGGAAGGAGTAAACTAATGGTCAGTCAACCTTGCGCTCAACGAGGAAGCAAGTTGGAGACAAAGGTTGGGGTTGCAAGCGCTGTTCAAAGCCCTTACATGTTCTGAATGCCAACATAGGAAAAAAACAAAAGGTGAAAAAAGAAATCCCCCAAATCTAGGGGGCATAATGCAACACCCGCCGGGTTCAGTAGAACTTCTACTTCAATTTTTTGCGGAAGGGAGGTTGAAAAACAAACTCGTGAGAACCTGCCACAAAACAGATTCATCATGTTCGAATCAGGGAAGAAAAATTACAAAAGTCCCTTCCTCAATCCAAAGCGGGTCCATACAGCTGGTGAGACATGATAAGTAGGTGGTAGGTTTTCCAGTGTCACGCTGGTGAAGTGTTACTGTAAATTCTGAATGTTCACTGAAGGTTCAAAGATTGGTAAGTGGCCATGGGCCGTGTGTCATTGCAGTTCTTGCTGCTAGGCACGTTTGTAGCTACGATATGTGGCACGTTCTCACCTGCCTCTTGATCACGCAACACATATCACCACCAATGTACAGGCTATGATGTTCTAATGGCAAAACCCACATAGCGAACCAAAAACTTGCGGGGGTGAGCTATCTAATGCAGACACAAGGTCCTCTCTGAATAGGTCCTGACCTTGACCTTCAATCCTACACTATTTAGACGTTTAGGCCTTTCTTGGATTTTTATGTCCTTCGTTATCCTTTTCTTCTTGACCTTTCTTTGTCATTGAGCTGAGACCTTTAGACCTTTCCTTTATATACTTTGTTTGTCTTTTCCTTTTGTGTTTTTTATCCTTCAGACCTATTGTTCTTTATAACTGTTCTGTTCCATCTGTCTTTTAGGCCGTTTCTATTCCAGTATATGCATTATGTCTCTTCTTTGTGTCTTAGACCTTCAGACTCTTCTGTTCTTTTCCTTCGACCTTTAGACCTGTTATGTTAATGCTTTTTCTTCAGACCTCTGGACCTCTCCCTTTTTTCTAGTCTTTCTTTGGACCATTACAGTATGTATGTATATATATATATAACTTCCAATCGCTCCTCTTTTCAACCTCATGCTTGCAGGGTTCAACACGTATGGCCATCACGGCCATGTAGGGGCCATCAAGGCCACATCTTCACACCCTGTTGTGAGCGCGGGTGCGGTGCAAAGGCTTGAGCGAGAAAGAGTCGGTCATCATCAGTTTTAGTTGCGCAAAACTTCCAATCGCTCCTCTTTTCAACCTCATGCTTGCAGGGTTCAACACGTACGGCCATCACGGCCATGTAGGGGCCATCAAGGCCACATCTTCACACCCACAACTTCCTCCCATAACTTCAGCTCAAGGCTCGTCGCTCGACAACAGGGTATACCACGCACTGCAAGGGATGAAAGCCCTCTTGAGACAAGCAGCTCTCTTCAACAAGGTTGGGAACAGTTCTGCAAGAGCAATGACGCGTTCCCTCTGCGACGTGGTCATCTGAGCTAAAAACTGAACTGATCCAATTTCCTGAATGTAGATTTCCATCACTTTTGCATTCACCCACCGGCCTCTTCTTCTAACAAATTCTGAGTCCTCCGTGCACTGAAGCTGCCATGTCGCTCCGCCAGGTCTAAGAGACCCGGCGTCAAGGGTTTTGGACCCTTGGAAGACTCCGGTTTGCAGCGACAGTGCGCGCAGTATGTCTTTGAATCGCAGCCTGAAGGTAGCGGAGGAAAAAGACCACAACTTCTGGCGTGGCTTGAAATCTGCAAAAGCCATTTCCACAACAGCAAGAAGATCACCAATGTCAAGTTTTGCACTCTGATGCCTAGCAGCAACGAAACGAGTTTTTGGCTCCAGCAGCGACAACAAAGCAAATTTGTTTGCCCCCAACGTATCAGAAGGTAGGAGCAGGTCCTTCCGCAGCGAGTTTGTCATCTCGCTCGTTCTCAAGAGAGCCCCCCATCCAAGCGCCAGCAGTCCTGCCATTTCCAACCATCCCCACCCAAGGGCGACCGACAACATCGCCAAGAGCACCTGCCAAGGCATGGCGATATGGTGAATTGGCCTCTCTTCTCGTACCCAAGCAAAAGCTAGGTCCCAAGCGGGCTGAAGCTGCCTCTTTAGCACAGGTTTGAACGATGCAATGCTGTTCACTGACTCAACATAAATGTTGTACGTCTTCCCTGCGTCATACAGTCTTCGCCCATACATTTGTAGGATTGCGTTGATCCTTTCAATGTGCAACAAGGGGTTCTCAAGCAGTGTACGGAGATTCAGGCCACACATGTCGCTCCATCTCAGCAAGTCCGCAAGCAATCTCTCACGGTTGCCAGCCGTCAGCTGGGTGACAGGCCGTCCTTGAGGTAGAGGGGGTCTGTTTCGTCTCGTCGCCTGCCTACTCCAGTCTCCAGGAGTGCGCGGTGCAATCATGGCTTCGCTCCTACCTACTAAGGTGACTAAGAACAAGACCAGACAGGGAGGGACGAGGCAGGACAAGCAGCAAGGTGCGAGGAAAATCAGAAAGAGGACCCAGAAAGGTCCTTCGCCAGGATAGCCCATGGTGGAATCGAAATCCATATGATGGCAGAGAGCATGAGAAGCCCAAGGCAAATCAGGGATGAGCCTAGGAGAAGTCCACTGAAGTCCATGCAGCCGCCGATGTGGCGAGACAAGTGCAGCACCTCTGAAGTCCAAGATACATAGCACTACCCTTAACCAGTTTGAAGCCCAACGACGAAGCTTAGGCATGGTGCATAGCGCACGGCAGTCCTCTTCTGTCAGCTTATCGAGACAACAGGTTCTCCAAGCCGATCGCACTTCTAGATCTCTGGTAGGATCATCCGAAGTGTTCAATCTAGTTGGTACGAAGGGCAAGGTGAAATAGAGGCCAGCTGCAACACAAGTAGCACCAAACCGCTTTATCAGCGGCGCCAGGGCTCGACTGGATGTCCGCCCTTTGGAGGCAGCACAGCGAATCACATTCGAAGCGACAAAGTTGACCACTCTCATCGAGCGAGGCGACCTGGCTAGTCGGACACCAAGACGCAGAAGGCTCTTCATCTCCAGAAGGTTTATGTGTCGTTTTGCAGAAAAAGTCCAAGCATCAACCTTCTTCCAAGTTCCGTTCTGAGCAACCAAATTGACAAGCTGGTTCTCAAGGCCAGAAGATATATTGGAATCATCATCCCGCAAAGCTGCTCTCCTCATCATAACTGCCTCTTTGAAACACATAGCAAGCTGCATAGCCAAATCGTCTGTGTAGGAGGCAGAAGCTTTTGTATATTTTCCTTCAACTACCACATGCTTATGGTCACGACTGCACCTCCTTGCCAGACTGTCAATATTCACGTTGGCAGCCAGGAACCGGAAGCTCTTCTGATGTGGTGATCCGAAGGCACAAGAATCGGAGCGCACGGTTGACACCCTTTCTTTGCATTCCAGAGCTTTCCACTGTCGCAGATACCTCATCATCGAGGTCCAAGGTTGCTCACAAAGGCCAGGAATGTATAGCCTCCATGCTAATGTGAGAAGTGTCAGAGCCCGCAACGCCAGCACATTGCCCACATGAGTTTGATGATGACGCGGCTCAAAACCAAGTGGATCACTTTTTCCTCGCAGCGGAGGCCTCCGCATGATCGAGAAAGTTGCGCACACAGGCTCAACCATGATGCTTCCTAGGGATCCGGAAGTCAGCAGAAAACTAAGCCATGCCAAAACTCTTGGCAGCAACAAGTCCAGCTCACCGCTCAGCGCAATGTCTATGGGAGGCCCAACCACAAGACCCAAGGAGGAGGCCGCTCTTGAAACCTTGGCAGATCCAGCGAACACCTCAATGAAGTCATAGTGAAAAGCAAGTGCCTTTTGGGGGGCAGGTCTGTAGGAGGAGCAATCTTGAAAAGATCTCTCATTTTCGTCTCCTTCTTCACGCAGACCAAGCTTGTCCAACAGCACCTCATACGGGCTTTTGAGCCTAGAGTATGCGCCCTTGGATTTGCAGCCTCTCCACAACATCTGAGCAATCTGTTCAGGAACTTGCGCCGATGTGATGGCCCCTTTGGAATCGGAAGCATCTGTTGAAAAAACCTTGGTCTCAAACACAGCCCCAATGTCAGCAACTGCAAGAATCCCCAACACCGAGAGGACTGTCAGCTCATCTGCTATCCTTCTAGGCAAGGGAACCAGCTGTGGTCAATGTTCGCCGCGTCAACAAGGCCATGGGAATAGGAAAGGATACTCATCAATGGTCTCCTGTACATGATCATTGAAGTCCATGCCCCAACAATGCACAGATGTAGAACGTCTGTCGTCTTGGGCAGCTGAGCCACCTGCAAAGTCAGCCAACTCATAGCGAGGCGCTTGCATACAGGTGATCCAACTGTCGCAACAGCTTTTCGAGCAGCTCTGTCAGAAGTATTGATCTCTGCGCCAATGACTTTGGCCCAGGCGTCTCCCAGAACGTCTTTGTGAGGAGATCCCAAAATCTTGTGCTTCTCATAAACAGCCTGGCTCCGTTGGAACCTAAGGAAAGCCTCGCTCGGATTCTGCAACGGCCCTCTCTTTTCGCAAGACATGCAAAAATAGTCATCGATCACCAACCCTTGACAAACTTTTCCTCCATGAAAAGGAACATTTGCCAGAAGTCTCTCATGTTCTGCCAACAGTCCACCGGCCTGCAGAAGATGCTCATGGGCAGAGGTTGCCACTTCCACCCCAATGTGGTCACCCTGAAAAAGAGAGCGAAAACATACATGGACATCCTCCGTGAGGACAGGCCTAGGCTTGAAGAAAAATACTCCATGGTCATCATGAAGCCTATCACCAACAGTCTCACGACTTGTAGCTGGGCTTTTCCTGAAGGTCTGTCCCTTTGTGAATCTATCGTACTCCTCAAGTCCTCTAAGATCTTGTAGACGGACACGAGGACCCACAGCGTTCTCCCTTGCTTTCTCAGGAGTCACCCAGAATTGATGATAGAAATCTCTCCTGTCTGTGGCAAAGACTCTGTAGGATTCTTTGACTGGATCCAGATGAAGATCAACCAGATCGCTACCAGCCGGCAGGTGCCGGGATGGACCTTCCAATTTTCCTTCTTGCAGATTCACCGGCGGTCTCCGATCTGTCTGTCGACTTGCAGGTTCTTGAAATTGTTAAAAACCCTTGTCTGGGAGAAAAGTGGCACATCCTCGTCGCTCAAAAATAGCAACCCACGGGAGTCCCAGAGTTTTGCAAGCTTCAACACTTCACCAGCAGAGTCTGTTATCTTGGGGAACTCGCCGTCCACGGGAACATAGCCATTCCTCAACAACTGAGGCATCCTGTATGCCATGCATAAATCATCTGCTAGAAAATCTGTTGCATCAAAAGAGCCATTCCCAAAAAGCAGTAGTCGGCTAGAGTCAAGAGGTTTGTATGGAGTGAGCTCCGGCAGTACTTCGTTCCGAAGAGGAACTTCATGTCCAGCATACATCCGACTGTAGGGGCCTGAAGCACCGAGCTTTGTAAGGCTTTCTGACAGTTCTCCAAGTCGTGCAACTAATTGAGGAAACTTTCGGCCGCAAGCAAGAGTCTCAAAAACTCCTGAATCTGGGCCGTCGGCTGCTATAATCCCCATCAGCTTTCTGTAGATGCTGCGGTGAGCTGCTGAAGGAGACCTCGACAGTAAGCTTGGGTTCGGAAAAACTTCCAAACCATCATGCCAGTAGTTCAACGCCATCACAACAATGTGTAAAACACGCTTGAGGTGCAGCCGTCTCCTAGCATGTAGTGAAAGCCCTGTCGGCATCCTGCCAAACAACTCCGTCTCTGGAATTGGCACAGGGAATAGCGCCGATGTCGAAACATCATAGTTCCGAGGCATATGTAATGAGGTTGTCAAAAATGCAGAAAATGGAGTACGAGTCCTCAAAATGTTTCGCAACAGGCCAGCACACCACTTCCAAAAAGTCAGGGCTTTTGGAACCCTGGAAAAGAGGTCATAGTCATTGCCACCAACCTCTGTGTCAGGAACCTTCTCAGGGAGGAAGTCATAGTTCCTCACCCGACCATGAATTCTGTGTCGGTCAACCGGTGCTCTCTCAAAACGGGAACCATGAGAAGAGCACCTCACGCAACTAGAGCTTCTCGTCACTGGGTTCCCTCCTGCGCCGCTTTCGGGCGCTTCGGGAATCGTGGCTTTCTCTTCGGAGATCCGGTCGGGCTCCCCGTCCCTTCCTGCTCCCTTGATGGCGCAGCTTTTGCTTTCCCTTCCGGCTTCTTGTTTGCGAGGACTTCCATGTCTTTGATATAGCTCAATGTTGTGGCAGTCCACACAGGCGGAATCAGAGGGCTGAAAGGGCGCCCTGTGCTGGTGATTGTAGCTGACCTCTCCTGAAACAACTGAATAGGTGGTTCCTCCATCAAGGTGAGATAGGCAACGCTCCAGTCCCCATTGTCGAAATTTGCCTGTTCGACAGCCATGGCCAGAAGAGCAATGATCTCCTTTGTCCCCTGGAAGTCGCCTTGCGCTGCAGCATCTATGGCATGAGCTAAAATCCACTGCACAAGGCCCAGGGTCTTTTGATTTCGGTAGCCGCCTGACTTTTCCAGATACTCCAGGAAAGAAACTGCACCAGTCTCGCTTTCCGTCTTTGGCAAAACCCTCCCAGGATGCAAGCGTTTGTGAATCTGCTGCATGAGGAGGAGGAAGAAGTTCCCAGATCTTGATGCCAACTCTGCCTGCAACTTTTCCCTCCTCTGAACTCCCTTCATCGACGAAGAGCCTGAGAGTCCACTTTGGAGGTCCATCAGTGGATCGTTGCTGTGTCCAACCAGGTGGGCTACTAGAGAAGCAAGAGCCGTCGACTGTTGACTGAGTGCATTCACAATCACCCCTTGACCAGCCCCGTCGCCGCCGACCAGCACCTCGTTGGGATCTTCTGGTGCCTGAGCAAGAGCCTGAGAAAGCTGCATCTGGGTCATCTTTGTACGAGGAGGAGGACCAACCAAGCTCAACCCTTTTGCTACTGAAATGGGTGGGCCACCCACGGAAGCAAGGCCGTCTGACACGGCCGGCAATTTGCCTGGTTTGCCAGATGAAAGTCCTGAGGCATCTCCTACAGCAACATCTCGATCTGCTCCTCTCTTCTCTAGGGCATCTTGTCGGGCAGCAAGGAACTGCATCTGACTGGCGAGAGATGTCAGCTGCTCCATCAGCACAGGGTTTGTGACCTTCTTGGGGCCCGCTTTCTTTGGAACGGCCACCGTGCTTTTTGGTGCAGATGTCGGGTCCTCTTGAGCCGAATAAAAACCCGCACCAGGGTCCAATCTCTCAGCTATCCATGATCTGACCAGGAGATGTAGCGCAGCTACATCAGGTAGGCAACCAGGGGCATCTTCATGAAAAGGGCATATAGCCAGGTCAGAATCAACCACTGGATCATACTGCCGCGCAAAACATAGCAGGTCATCCGTCACATCGACAACATCAACTGCTCCACTGAAGCCAAGAGGAAGGGGCGTGCCGTCATCACTTTCCTCCACCAAAGCCACTTCAAGGACTGTTCCAACTCCAAGCCATGCAAGCGCCATCTCGGCGTGCTGAGGATCTTCAAACAAGCTCTGATGGATGACTCCATGAGGAATGCAAAGAAGGAAACCATTTTGCCTTCCCAGCAGAGGCAACCCAAAAAGCTCAACCACTGCTCCTGTCACTGGTGGAGACAAGGTGACTACCAGGAGCGAATAGTCACCATGATCATCTGCGAACTTCACTTCTGACCGCTGCATTGATACAGCGGAGGCAAGCCCGTCCCGAAGGACGAGCAAAAGACCTGAACCTCAGTGATCGAGGGGAAGCCCTGGTAGATGGCAGGCTCACACTCGCACGCCTGGGATGCCAACAACGATCTGAGTTCTGACAACTTCCTCACACGCACAGGCCCTGTAATGCGAGAATGTCGCACCACAACCCAATGCACGTCCGAAAGGGACAGAGGCTCTGCTTGCTTGTATTCGGAGTGTGTGGCGTTCGCCGCCCAAGCCCAAAATCCAGCCTTCCACGCACGGAGCACGCGGTCCCGAGGAGGTCCACAGACTGAAGTCAGCTTGGATGAGGTCAATGCCAACAAGTCCTCTGGGATAGGCTCTGGACCGTCTTCAAACACCCGGTGAGGATCAACTTTGACTGAAAGAGGCAACTCAGATGCCTCCTCAACCAACTCCCAACCAGCAACACTAATCACTGGCCTAGGCTCCACGGTTTGCGAGGATGATGAGGCCAGGGACGATCTCTCAAGCGCAATACTAAGTCGATTCACTGCACTTATCAGCTGAGCCAAGTCCTCCTTGGTCACTGGGTGGCTCATTCACTGCTCCTTATAGGAGGCCAATCTTGCTCTCTTTTCCAATTCCAACGGCCGGACTGCAACCGAAACAGGATCTGGGTGATGCTGGAAATCCTGAAAAGTGGAATGCAGGAAGGTTCGAGAGTGAATCAGGAGGTAAAATCCAGCAAAGAGGGCAAGAAGAATGCCAATGGCCAATCCAGCAATGAACCAAGGAATGCAGGATCCTGAGCAGTAGATCGGACAGGAGGAGCGAGCTGAGAGGTCAGACAAGAGGGAGACGAAGGACGACACAGACCTAAGACTCCACATTCGGCTTGAGCGAGAAAGAGTCGGTCATCATCAGTTTTAGTTGTGCATATGATATGGATTTGTATTTCTTCCCTTAGATATGTTTGTGTTGTTGTCTCCTTGCACGTTTTCCTTTTAGACCTGTAGATCTGTCCTCTACTCTTTACCTCAAAACCTTGCTTTTTCATTCTTCAGACCTTTGGACCTTTCTTTTCTCTTGTTCCTTTGTCCTTTTCTATATTTGCTGTATACCTTGGGACCTCTTTTTTTGCCAACAAGGCCTAGATCGCAGCACCGGGAGACCATCGTGGTGACACATTGACAACACAATCCCTGCAACTGCCAGCTAATGAAGGTCAGTCAGAAACAAGAAATGCCCGTAGCGAGAGTCAATCATGAACCCTACCTGGGGGTTAGGGAAAGACCCTTGCTACTCGATCATAAAACAGAATTCAGGGAGGCCTCGTTCGACCTTGCCAGCTGCCCCTTCAATCACAAAACACACACAAGGTGGCCCTCGGAAGCCAGCTTTCGTGATGCGATGGTAGGCCTCGCATCATTAATCCCAACTGAAGCCCTCATGGTTGCACATCGAACCCCTTTACACAATGAATTCCACGTCAGTGAGCAGCACAAGAAATCAGTGCAAAAGGTTCGGCAACATTTTTGGAGGTACTGTGAAGGCCTCAGCCGCTTGCACCACCAGCACCACCACCACCACCACCGCCACCACCACCACCGCCACCCCAAAGCAAATGAGTCAAACGAGTTACTGGCCAATACTGCCGCTTGAAGATGCCCTTTGTCTTAAGCTGTAAGTCTGCGTCAGTTGCTGCACAATATCGCCAACCTTTTCCTGGCAATATTTACAGGACAGCACTCCTCTAAAGCTCGAGTTGGCCATGAGCGCAAGGTCATGAGATGACACATGTGACAGCAGTTGTGTGGCATACCTTCCAAACTCCTGGCAAGCTTCAATCGTAAGCTCTGTCGCCATCTTGACAGAGGGCACAAGCTGCAACCACCACAATGTCGCCTTCACATCATCTTTGAAGATGCCAAACTCTGAAAGAGCCTCCAAGTCATAGTTCCTATTGAAGTAGTCCGCAACAAATGCATCCTCGGATGGGTACTACCACAAAGTAGCACAGAAGCTGCTGGTTACCAATGCAGTCAATTGGTAGCTTTTCTCACATTGGGAAGCGGGTAGGGGGAAGCGCGACTTTTACTGAAGATAGTGGAACAACTCCAGCATCAGCAAATGGTGTGGGATGCACTTTCTTGGAGCAGCTGCGTTCCATGGTCCTTCGTCCTTCGGTGAGAAAACAAAAGCTCCTGGGAGCAGCGTATTTCACTGAAGCATAGTGCTTTCATAGTTTGGAGGTTGCTATGCGGGGGTTTGGTCGTAGGGGTCAAGGGGAGGAGCTGCAAATACCTGTAGCAAACAAAATTACACCGGCATAGACCCTAGCAACGGCAAACAATGGAAACAAGTGAGGAGACAAAGAAATGGGCATACCGCGGCATACCTGTAAGAAGACAAGGCAGCGGCAAACAAAACGCCGATCACACAGGCAGTGAAGGCAATTGTGGAGACAAGTGAGGAGACAAGGCAGGCAGCGGTGGACCAAAACGCCGATCAGCCACCCAGTCATTGAGAAGTAAGAACCCCTATAGCTTTCAGCCATCTGGCGAACAAACAAACAAACAAACAAACAAACAAACAAACACAGTAAATAAACCTTGGTGCGAACAGGTTCCAGCATGTCCACGATCAAATGTATGCCTCAATCTGTGTGCCTCACCATGTGTTATCTTTGTATCTGCCAAGATTCGTTGGGTGTTACAAAGCCTGGCCAAGTGATCAAAACCGAGGACACTTCGCAAATCTGCGCGGTAGTCATTTCCTTTGCTGCAGAGAAGCGGTTGAAAGAGAACCAAACTGGTCAGGCGGTTCCTGTAACTTTTGCTGTAGGGCATTATTTCTGGGCTGTTCTGGCTCTGAAACTCAAGCTTTCAATCAAGTCTCGGCTACGCACCATTTTCGTCCCAGGATGTCTGGCGTCGCCAAAATCACAAACTTTTGCCTGGAATGGATACAGGGTATAACTTATGAACCATGGCATCGACAAACCAACATGTACCTATCACGTGAATCAGGGGTGTGATCAGTTGTACATATATTGGCCTGGACTGGAAGCTGGCATTGACGGTACGAATCCAATCCAAGAATCTACAAAACAGAGTTGTCAAACTTGCTTTTAGCTGCTGAGTGCAATCAAACCAAGGTGCGTATCCTGGGCCACATATCTGCACAGGCGGGTGATATCCAAGAGGTCATCACTGTCGATAAAGGCAGAGTGGTTGGCTTTCGTGAGTTCAATCTTCAGCAGCCGTGCGAAAGAGCCAGCAGCAGACTTTTGATGACATAAGAAGAAGTCAAAGCGCTTCCGAAAGTACTGCTGCATGATGTGTTTGGAGGCCCCATAGACTGCTGCGACAAATATTGCCACAATCATCGAAACCAGGAATCCCATGCCTACTTGCGAAACCAGGAAGACGTTGGTTAGGAAAAGCACAAAAACCTGCTAGGATGTGTTCGAAAGCCAGGATGCAAATAACCATTGCTGAAGCGGAGTTTTCTTCTTGCATTGAGACGGCTCCCATGTCAACGATCACCATTAGTCCGGCAATCAGCCAAATATCCAGAAGGTTGCACGACAAAAAGCGCCAAGGTTTGTAGAAGGCCGTCAAAATCCTGAGCTGCTGAAGGGTCTCTTGTCAGGACGGAGAATTCGAGGAAATGATTCTCCAAAGGATTGCAACTGCTCCATGCCAAGAATCAAACTGACGTAAAGCAAGGCGTTCAACAGCACAACTTTGACAGGTCTATTGGATGGAAGTTGGCACAGGACAACCAGGGCATTTCGCGTCAAGAAAAGGACTGAAAAGACCTTCAGGGGGACTTATATGCAAGTCAACCAAACTTTGTCAATACGCGTTTGTGCATCAGCATTCTCTAAAATTCTGTGGCTAAAACATCCGACCTGTTGCAGAGCTCTTGCTACAAAAGGTTCCCCAGTAGAATTTTAGACAACTAGACGACGGGTGGCCCGAGAGCGAGACATGTGATTGTCCAGTGCTGTGGAAAAGAGATAGATAAAGAAAGAAAGAAAGAAAAGAAAAGAAAGAAAGAAAGAAAGAAAGAAAGGATGGACGTGAAGGAGTGACAGTGTGGATGCGCAGGTGTCATATAGATGTGTAGATGTATGGAGGTGGAGAGGTAGATGTATGGATGCGAGCGTGCGGAGACGTAAATGGACAGAGGCGAGAGAAAATATATATCTTAGAATCGGCAGAAGTCAGTCGCTCTTCAAACGGCTGCAGACAAGTCAGTCTCACTTCAAGACAAAAACGAAGTAAACCGTCAGCAGGTCGAAGCGCACACAAAATGGATTTGTGTGCGCTTCATCCTGGTCCCAAAAACAAGCGGCGAGTAGAGATCCTGCGAGCAGAGGCTCAAAGCAAATCAGTTTGACTTCAAGTATCAGACACAGAGAAAGCAAGCAGTAAGTGTGCTTCCAGTCATCATCTCCACTCTCGCGGATAGGCCCTTCAAAGCACCAACGCTGCGACCTGACAGCAAACGACATTACGATCAGGACAAGTGACTCGTGCGTTCCAACTGTGCATCGATTGTCGCGCAGGTGAAGTAGACACATATCAACGTCACGTCCCTCTTTCCGGCAGTTGCGGATCCCGTCGTCGAAGCAATGATGTCGCAGTTTCGTCCCGAACAGTCTCGACGGACGACCCGCGACACAAACTAGTCTCGGTGTGCTGCGCTGAAGTCTCGCAAACCTTCCAGGTGGGTGCCACAACGCTTCCAAAAGTCGCCAGTTCTCAGCTTCCAGCTCCACAGATTGCTCCGCGTACTACAGTTGTACTACAGAGTCGCCAGTTCTCAGCTTCCAGCTCCACAGATTGCTCCGCGCACTGAAGTTGTACTACAAAGTCGCCAGTTCTCAGCTTCCAGCTTCACAGATTGCTCCGCGTACTAAAGTTATACTACAAAGTCTCCACTCTCGCCTGCATTTCGCGCACTCGACACGCACGATCTCCGCAGACGGTTGCGCCGGACCGGGTCAAATCGCACTCTCGCCTGCGTTTCGCGCACTCGACACGCACGATCTCCGCAGAGGGTTGCGCCGGACCGGGTCAAATCGCACTCTCGCC